ACACACACACACACACACACACACACACACACACGAACAGTCATGCACCATAAAATGACATTTCAATGAGTGATGAACTTCATAGACTATAGTTGGTTATTGTTAAGTAACACAATACCGTATTGCCTAAGATTTCCAGTATCCTTGACAAATTGGAAGACATGGTAACAGTGTCCCCACATGACTGCATGACCGTCATCTAGTACTTCAGTCACCACTGTGTTCAGACAGCGAGGATGACCACGCTTTGTTAGTCTAGGCTACTTCCTCTTTCTTTCTTTCTTTTTTTTTTTTCCAATCCTGGGACTTGAACTCAGGGCCTGGGCTTCTTTTGCTCAAGGCTAGCACTCTAACACTTGAGCCACAGCACCATTTCTGTTCTTTTCCGTGCATATGGTACTGAGGAATCGAACCCAGGGCTTCATGCATGTTAGGCAAGCCCTCCGCCATGAAGCCACCTTCCCAGCTCCTTGCTGCTTCCTCTTCTAGTGCAATGCTCAGGAGCCAGTGTCATTGCTCATTCCACACTGAGTGGCCACTACTTCTCTTTTTTTCTTTCCTTTTTTCGTTTTTAACATTGGGACTTGAACTCTGGACCTATACACTATCCCTTAGCTTTATTACTTTTGCTCAAGTCTGTCATTTTATCACTTGGACCACACCTTCATTTCTGGCTTTTTACTGGTTAATCAACTGGAGATGAGAAGCTCATGGACTTTTCTTTCAGGCCTGGCTTCTGACCAGCATCCCACAGCTCAGCCTCCTAAGTAACTAAGAGGTTACTGGTAGGAAAGGCACCCAGCCTTATCTGGTCTCTGTGGTCTCCTACATTTTTTTGGGGGGGGGTCCGGTCATGGGGCCTGAACTCTGGGCCTGGGCACTGTCCCTTAGCTCTTCAGCTCAAGGCTAGCGCTCTACTACTTGAGCACCACTTCCGGCTTTTTTCTTTTTGCTTATGTGGTGCTGAGGAATCGAACCCAGGGCCTCAGACATGCAAGGCAAGCGCTCTACCACTGAGCCAACTTCCCAGCCCATGGGCTCCTACATTTTTGACCTCTTAGTCTCAACAGTTTATAGGAAGAAAGGAACTCTGTGAGGACTATGATCTAGTGGTAATCTCAGGTGAGCACTGGCAGAGCCAGAACCACAGCCCCAGCCCCTTTCTTCTGAGGCATACCTTGGTCTGAACCTCTGACTTTGTGGCAAAGCCTGGAAAGTCATAGGACTCCCTATGGCCTACTAGGCCAGCCAGCGACCTTGGGACTCCAGTCCAAGGAGAGTCTTGGCAAAGCAGGTGTGTGTGTGTGTCTGTGTGTGTCTGTGTGTGTCTGTGTGTGTCTGTGTGTGTGTGTGTCTGTGCACATGCGTGCATGTGGGCAGATAGAAACCAGTCATACTCAAGCAGCAAGAAGTGCCTGAAATCAGAGTTAAGTTGGGAAGCACAATACATGGGGCACCTAGAAGGAGGTCAGAAGTATTGTGGGGTACAGGGCAACTGAGAGGGAAACAAAAGTCCATGCTGTGGGTGACCAGGCCCTTCCGCCAGAGCTGGTCACTTCTGCCTTTGGAGCTAGTTTCGCAATGGCCAAGTGTGTGATCATAGCCTGAGCAGAGTCGGGAGCCTGGCGAGGATGGGCTAGGCTGTGGCCTCCCACACTCACACCAGCACCCAGAGACGTCAGGGCCAGGCGCTCACATAGCAGCGGTATCTGGGGCTTGTCATCAGGATGGGTGAGTAGCGTCTGGGCATGGAGCCCACAGGGCAGGGTGAAGGAGGAGACCAGGGCTGGTGATCTGAGGGAATAAGGAAGCCTCTGATCCCCCATGGAGGTCCTGGCCTAGACGATAGTGCTGTCAGCAGACACTGGGTTCTTCTCAGTGGGTAGGAGCCACAGGAGGAGGTAGAGGTTTGCAAGCCTGGGTCTCCTCCTATGAGGAGAACTGGGTTTGGGACTCTATCCATGTGGGAAGAAAGCAATTCTGAAGCTTCCTCATCCCATACATCTGGAATGCCTGGTAATGGAGCTAAGCTGGGACCAGAGACCCTCCCTTCTCTATTCTGATTGGAGGAGGTGGGACAGGATATGTGTGGCTTAAAGAAACAAGACATTTATCAAACCTTCTGGTGGTCCTCCCAGGTGACCAGAGTCCCCAGAGACTGAGCAGGTCCAGCTATGGTTCAATCTCCAGCCCATCTGGTCCAGCGCCCCAGCACATGCCAGCCCAGGAAACCTACCTGAGTGAGAA